ATCTTTGACATTTTCTTCCCTGGCTACAGACAGGCTCCCACCCTTTCTCTCCTTCCCCTTCCCTCTCTCAGCCCGGGTGGATCTGCCTCGGACCTTTACTCACAGCCGGACACTGCCCCAAAGCTCCCATACAGGCAGCGCCTCTGCCCAACCCCGAACACGCAGCATCTCCTCCCCGGAGAGGCACCGAGCGCCCCAACCCCACAATTCGAGGTCAGTGCGAACAGCCGGCTCCACTCCACAGCCCCAAAAGGCCAGCGGGCAGCCGGGGTACAGCAGCATCACCACCAGTAACACTTCATCCCAGCTCCCAGCGCCACCCCCCCCAGCTCCCACCACCCCCAACACCACAACCAGCTGCACCCTTTAAACCTTTCCAAACAGGACAGCCAGACTTGGGGGGCACACAGGGACCCCGGCCACTGAGACGGCAATGGGGATGGTCTCCAAACCGTGTGTCCCCGGCCAGAGCGTGCGCGGCACTGGCCAGGCTGCAGACTCCTGTTTTTCCAGCTCCTCGCCGAGGTTTCCTGGAAGGGCCCGCGAGCAGCGTTAAACACTTTCTTTTGGAGGAAAAAATGACTCTTCTCTGGCGGGGCGCCAGGCGGCTGACTCAGGGACGGAAGACAGCCCTAACGCGATAGTGTGAAATCAGAGCGCTCCTATCTGCGAGCAAAACACTTCCGAAAGCCAACCCTGAGCCGGGGACGGCTTAACCAGTCCCATGCCACAGTGCCCATGCCCCGGCAGATCCTGTGCCACTGACCCCCCTCGCCGTAAAGCGGAGGGGGGCAATAACACCCAGCATGTGTCCTAAAAAGTCAGGGCCCCTCCTTGCTGCTGATTTTCCACCCCCAAATCCCTGCCGGCAGCATCCCAAGGAGGCAGCTGAGCCCCAAAGTTCCCCCTTGGCTTGAAGATGCCCCAGGACCACGCAGCAAGGTCCTCTCCGGGCACTCAGTGTGAGTTAAGGATGAGGATGGAGTCCACAATTTCTCCCGGAGACTCAGAGCTCCTTCATCCAGATGGTGTAGCCAGGAACCGGCAGCATTTCACTCCACAACACCTCCCGTATGGGGGAAAAGGGGGAGAGACAGAGGGAATCCCTTCACATGGAGGGAGAAAGGAAAAAGCAGCGTGTCCAGGGGCAGCATCAAGGCGGAGAGGCTGAGACATTGCCTGGAGCCGGGCCATCGCCCAATCCTCCTGTCTGATGGCAGCAATGGGTGCTGGCCAGTCTCGGGAAACAGGGCAAGAGCCAGGGTGGGGGCTGGGATAAATAGGGCAGGGGAATAGAAAGGAAAAGGGAATAAATAAATATAAATGAAAGCACGTGGCGCCAAGGGAGAAAATAGCTGGGAAAGGCTTTAATTAGAATTTGGGCAGAGCACCGCCCCACGGCTGGGAGAAACATCTCGAAAGCGGGGTCAGGATGGGGCACAACACAGTTCATGGCAGAGCCAGAAAGCCCCGAGTGTCCCATCCCACCTTCCCAGGACCCTCCAGCCAGGCAGGGACATGAGGGGTGTGGTGGCTCCCACCCCAAGAGCCGTACCAGGGTAGCAAGCAAGGAAGGGGCCATAACACCTCCACCATGCGTCAGGCCCTCATCCCACGGGCTGCTCTGCCCCACACCTGACTGCCCACCCTGTCCTTGTCCCTGTGCGTTCCAGGGGCTCGGACGTCAGGAGCAAAATTCTGCTATTCCCTGCCACTCCCAGGACCCCTCCTGGGCCACGGTATCACTTATAAGGCTGCCCATCACTTGTCACCTGAGAAGTTGAATAAAATCCCCCAAAAAAGAGCAAGGGAAGGCGGGGACAGGCTGCCTGAGCCGAAGCAGCTGTCCCCAGAGCAGTGGGCTCCCAGGTCGCCACTTGCAAAAGCGTTTTCAGCTCCCAGCAAGGTCAGATTTCGTCCCTGAAGGTCAGAGCAGCTCCAGCCTGGCAGGCTGTGCCATCCCAGCGTGGGTTGGGTTTGGCTTAGCCCCGGACGCAGCTCTGCTCCGGCTCTGTGTGCTCCGGCTGTATATCCAGGCGGCTGGGGGAAGCGGTGAGCCCAGCCTGGTCCTACCCCTGCTGCCAGGCTCGCTGCCCTGGCAGCGCAACGCTCTGCCCTCTACCTCCCCAGCACCCTGCAAGTCAACCCAGGAAAAAAAATGGGTCCAGGGGATGCGTGACAAGGGGATGGAGGGTCAGCTCACATCCTCAGATCCCAGCCCCCCACCTCACGCCCATTGGGGTGCACCATAGAGCATCGTGCACCGGCACAAATCCTGGCTGGGACTCTCCACCAGCATAGAGGATAAGGCTGGGGCACCACTGTGTCTCCCCTGGTCCTGCCCCCAGAAGCAGCCCACCCGCTGCCTCCACTCCCCACCAGCCAGAGCCCTGATCCTGAGGCACCTCCGGAGCACCAGCCAGCAAGGAAGATCCAGGGGTCCCGGGCCACTTCATAAGATGAAGGATACAGGCTGAGTCCCATGGGGGAGAACTCAGCGACACCCACACCCTCCCCCAGCTCTGGTTTCATCCTGTGCCCAGATATGATGGTAAGAAGTAACCCCAGCCCCTGAGCCGCAGGTCACCGTGGCCATGAATTTCCCACCCACTCCCAGCCCTTTCCCCCATCCCATCCAGCTCAAAGAAAAGCAAAGTCAGGACTTACCAAAGGGGACGGGGAAGAAAAGATCCCAGGCGAAGAGAAGGAGTGGGCAGTAAAATCCCTTTCCTTCACTCCTTCCAGCACCAGAGCCTTCCAGGGGGACCTGGTGCGGTGGCAGCTCGAGCGGCGTCCACAGCCGGCTCCGTGTGTCCGTCCAGGACAGGAGCCGACAGCCCGGGGCTGGCTTTGGTTGGCGTTTGTCCCTTTGGCTTTGCTTTCCCTCTCGCAGAAGGAGCTATTCCCTTCCCAGCGCCGTATCCCGCGGGGCCAGCGAGAGGGGCACCCTGACAGCAGCGGGATGCCGGAGGGGCTCGGATGGATACGGGGTACCCCCAGGACACGGGGTGCCGGAGGGGAGGATGGAGGAGAGGAAGGCGGCGGAGGCAGGAGATGGGTTGGAGGCGAGGAGGTGCGGTTGTGCTCCC